AGAGTGCTGTATGAATGTGTGTAGTAGAGTGTTGTATGAATGTGTGTAGTAGAGTGCTGTATGAATGTGTGTGTAGTAGAGTGTTGTATGAATATGTGTCTAGTAGAGTGCTGTATGAATGTGTGTAGTAGAGTGCTGTATGACCTGGGCCATGAAGTCTATGTTTGCACTCAGCACCGTCTTCAGCCTTTGGGCCTCTTTCAGTAGCTTGGCCATGGCCCGCGGGTTCTCCCTCACATCTTTCTCACTCTTCTTCTGCTTGTTGAAAAGTCCGGCCAGGTGGTCCCGCAGTCGCAGGTCCATCTCAAATCCCCCGAGCCCCCGATCAAACCTAAAGGCAGACCACAGTTTTATAAACAGAACCTGACAAACGGAGTCAGCATCTCTGCCCACGTCATGGACCTAACTCACCCGACTCCTCGGATCTGGAGCTGCGGCTGCGTGCCCGTCTCCTTGGTTTTGACCGTCTGATAGGTGACGATGGTGGCAGTGGTGCTGCCCGAGCCCATATCATAAAACATGATGTTCTGAAACCAAACAGGCTCCGACTGTTCAACACACGAACGTCTGAGCACACTCTGAAGTGAACAGAACTACGGGTCAAACCCTTCTGACTCAACCTGGAACAGCCGGCTGTTAGAACCCAATGAGCAACAAATCAATCACTAAATGCTTTGATTATAGGGGTGCACCAATAATCGGCCAGCCAATTTATCGGCCCTGATTTCCTTAATTTTGGGCGATCAGAGATTGACTAGACCTGTCACGATAACAAATTTTGCTGGGCGATTAATCGTCTCAGAAATTATTGCAATAAACGATAATATTGTTTGAAATTTGACAATAATTAGAAATTATTGTCAAATTTAATAAGAAATGTTGGTTAATTATGTGTGTAGTACTTTTTTTGACCAACGGATGGCAGTATAAGACTGAACTGAAGGATGGATAGTGAGGGAGCGAGCAGCGTGTCTCTAAGAAAAATGGGAGGGAGGCCCCATGACGTGACATGGGCGGTCTCTCTTCGGTTCTCAAAATGGCGGACGTTCCATGTGATTTGAGCTCTTTAGCGTGTTGTCACACAAAGCTTTTAATTAAAAATCAAAAACACGTTCTCAGCTTCTTTTTGCAGCGAAAAACAACTTTTTACACGAAGGCACGAGTTTCAACCGTGAATTTTGGAGCTTCGACGAGACGGAGGTTTTTTTCCTGAGGTCGGCCTGTTAGCTTAGCTCGTAGCTTAGCTGCTTTTAACGATCCAAAAACACGATTTGGACGTTAAAACAGATTTTAAAGAGAAAAGTGAAGGGAGGGGTCAGTGAAGAACTGGAGTCGAGTCTTTTGTCATCCAGTGTCTTCAGTAGAAAGAGAGAGACATGAAGAAACGATGAAGCCGATAAATGAAAACGAGGTCGATCATTTTCATTTATCAAGTGATTAATTGATTTATTGTTTATTGTAACAGGCCTAAGATTGACCGATACTTACACGAGGAAACACTTTTACCGATTTTTTGTAGTTTTAGCAACAATTGTCTGAACTTCATTTACATTTCAGAACACTACCTCATGACCAGTTAAAAGCAGTCTGTCTTGTTCAAAGGTCTGTTTTTCAATAAAATAATGTTGAACAATTGAAGGTGCATTGTGACCTTACAACACCAGACACCGTCACTTATTAAACTAAATCGGAATCGGCAGGTCAGGCCTTTTGGAGATCGTGATCGGTCAGAAAACTGCAGACGGTGCACCCCTAACTGATGAGCTGTCAAAGAGTTCGAGGTTTTGAAGGTGCTTTAGGCAGGAGAGTGTCAGAAAGACTAAATGAAGATCAACTCCAGCTGCAGTTTATGATCAGAAGATATTTTTACACATCAGGCTGTGAGGCACACACAACACGAGGCTCATAAAACAGGTTCATGCCGTGCACCTTCTGTCTGCAGCTCCGGGGAGACGTGCATGCACAAGACTCACCTTGGCCGTGCCGTCGATGTCTTTCCTCCGGAACACGCCGTAGTTCAGAGCGACGGCGGTGTTGTCGTTGAGGAGCTGCAGGACCTTCAGGCCGGCCATGTGAGCGGCGTGCAGGACCGCCCGGCGCTCCGCCTGGTTCAGGAAAGCTGGAACAGTGATGACTGCATCTTTGATGGGCTGTTCTGTGAATGCAACAGATCAGTTCATGATTAAAGTCGTGATCTAAATTAAAGGAGAGGAAAACAAGACGTTCCATCTTCCTTCACGAGTCAGTTTGGATGTTTAAGGCGAGGTTCTGTTGAAACAACCTCTGGGCAGGACGTTCAGATGAAAACAACATGAGAGGAAAACAAGCTGTGTGATTTTTATTCAAATTTATTTGCATTTCTAATTTTAAACACACACAAAAAAAGAGGGAATAAAAAGGAGCAATTTAATCCAGTGGTCCCCAACCACCGGGCCGCGGACCAGTACCGGGCCATGGGTCAATTTATACCAGGCCCACGAAAAAAAAAAACTTTTATTTTGAAAAATCACTGGATTCTCTCCACCATGTGTCAATGAGTGACTCTTGACGCAGGTCAACAAACACAAGTGTTGAGCTTCAGTTTCCATTAGACGCATGTGCAGATTAGTTCTACATGGCCGTTCGGGTGGTGGTCCGGAGCAGACAGGAGGAGGTGCGGGGTCGTGTCTGACATTTGAAGGGTCACTGCATATTCTCAACCCGCCTGACAAAGAGTGGCTGTAAAACTATGAGCTAAATAAAACTATAATTTTCAACAAAGCTTCCTAACATCACATCAGAGCTGGTCCTTCACGTTTCTGCTTCTGCTCTTAAAAAAATCTCCGCCCCTAAAAGTTCAAAGTCATGGGCAATTTTATTAAAACACACAATAATTAAAGTTTTGCACTTTGCATAAGTTCCTGCGCTTTTGTATAATCTGATGTTTGAATCAGTGCATAGCAGGGAGGAGGAGGAGGAGCAGAGAGGAGGAGCAGGGAGGAGGAGGAGGCTCAGCTGATCCCGCTGTGGGATCTACTCATGAAATGCGAACTGATCCTGCACTTAATACACTTATAAATCACACAAAGTGATTCAAAGTACATTTGAAACACAGGTGCTGGTCATAAAATTACACTGTTGTGAAAAAGTTGATTTATTTCAGTAATTCCATTCAAAAAGTGAAACTTGTATATTCGTTACACACAGACTGAAATATTTCAAATGTTTGTTTCTTTTAATGTTCATGTTTATAACTGACAAATCAACAAACTCAGTTTGTCCTGAAGTGAACGCCCCTCACCTGCAGAGCTGCAGCGGTTTACCTGCAGAGCTGCAGCGGTTTACC